ACAGGGGGGAAGACCCTGCCACTCGGGCCCCAGGAGGTGCTGGGTCGGGCATCAAAAAGCCACACAGGTGCTCTTCCCAAGGCTCATTAGCTCACTGGGGCTTGACTCATTGGTCATTTTAGGAAGGAGGCAAGAGGTCCTGATCTCTTTTTGCTGGAGAGAAGAGTGACGGCCAGAGATGAGGGAGACTTTGCCACTAATGTCCAACAGATGAGCCAATGTGAGACTAGGCCTCAGGTTATGGAAACTGCCAAGGTGGAATTGCACATCTGTTTCAACATGTGCTTATCTGTAATATCTGTATCTTCCATGTGAGGATGAATCAATTTTCTTAATTTTAAAAAAAAAAAGTTTCCTTTTTCTTGAAAGGAACAAATCAGAGAAGCAAAGGCCCAAGTGCAAGAGCCAAAATTTCTGGATTTTGGTCCCAGGAGGGCCTTCCAGAGCCTCAGTTTACTGACCTGTAAATGGAGATGTGTCCTCTCCCAGTCCCCAGACTTCTGTGGGTTGAATATGTGCATGCTGGCTGGTGGAGGCCGTGGGGGGCTGAATGAAGAGTCAGAGCATGGCGGCAGTTGGTGACTCTGAGGGGCTCCCGGGCAGCAGCATCTTGTGTGTTTGTCCGCAGGCCAGCTTCCTGGATAGCCGTGTTCAATGCCATGCCCACCATCTGCTTCGGATTTCAGGTGCTAGTTGCAAGGTCCCTTTTGTCCCCTTAGCTCACTCCCCATCCTGGGATGGAATCCACGTTACAGGCAGGATGGGGGAGTCCTGGAAGGAAGGACGGAGTGGGGGCCCCTTATCCTTGGGGGCGAGGTCACTTGCCCACCACGACCCTGCCCTTCACCCTGACAGTGCCACGTGAGCAGTGTACCCGTCTTCAACAGCATGCGGCGGCCTGAGGTGAAGACCTGGGGTGGGGTGGTGACAGCCGCCATGGTCATAGCCCTCGCTGTCTACATGGGCACAGGTGAGTGCTCCCCTCCGAGGGCGGGGCTTAGAGGGCTCCCACTTTCCCTCTTTGTCCCCAAGTCGTCTGGCCCAGGATTTCCTGGGGACAGCCCTGCACTCCCAACACGCAAACACTTCTGTAGGCACTGGCTTGAACTTGGGCCACCTTGGGCCTCCTCCTGCCCAAATGAGAAAGATGTATGCATGCATTCATTCAGCAGCTCTCAGTGGGTGCCTAGTAAGTCCCAGGAACTTTCTCAGTGTGGGGGATGCCATGGAGATAGATAGACCTGGTCCTGCCCTCGTGGAACTGATGATCTAGTCGGAGAGAGAGTCTTACAGGAGCAAGTCAGGAATCAGTAAGGAAATCCAGACAGTGGTGAGTGCCATGGTAACAGGGAAACAGGAAGCTGTGAGTGGGACTGAGTGGAGTTGGCTTTGGTGGGTAGGTCACAGGTGGCTCCTCTCTGAGGAGGTGGCAATTGGGGAAGGCCAAATCATGAGAAGGAGCTAGAATCTGAAGAGCTGGGGGAAAAGCATTCCAGACAGACGAACCAGAAAACGCCAGGTCCCTGAGGCCAGGACAGAAGAAGGTCTGCATAGCTGGAGTGGAGCGACTTGCGGGTGGGTGGCGGGCAGCATGGCCAGACAGGGAACACAGCCAGATCCTGGAAGACTGTTGGGAGGCAGAGAGGAAGCGTGCTTCAGCAGGGGCGTGGCTCGGGGACACCCGGCTCTGGGTGTTGGTAGGAAATGGTTTGGGTGAGGGAGCAGTGCTGGGAAACCACAAAGAATGGCCCTGTGATTCCTTCCACAGATGGTTCTAAGGACCAGCACTGTTCTAGTTTCTGAAGACACAGCCAGGAACAAGGGTGGCAAATAGGCAGAGTCCCGTTCTCCTGGGGCGACAGACAATAAACAAGTTAAAAAAAAAAAAAGTTCCAAGAGAGAGGAGTGCTCTGAAGAACACAGAACAGGGTGGTGTGAGGGAGTGCCTGGGGGCAGGGATTATTGTGGATGGGCTGGGCGGGGAAGCATTCTCTGAGGAGGGGACAAGGAGCTGAGACCTGAATGATGAGTAGATGGGCAGACAGAACTTTAATGCGGAAGCTCTGAGACAGGAACTGCTGGGTGAGTTCAAGATCAGAAAGGTGACGGTGTGGAGGTGGGAGATGTAAGAAGTCAGGGAGGGAGGCTTCTGATCCCAGCCTCGACACCCCTGTGAGCCTCAGTCTTAGCCTCCAGAGCCGCTTCGTCATCTCCCCACCTGCTGCTGGACCCAGCGGTGAACGGTCCATGGCCCTAACCCTCTGAGGGTTGCCTGGGTCAGCCCTCTTGTCTCTGCCCTCAGGCATCTGTGGCTTCCTGACCTTTGGAGCTGCTGTGGACCCCGACGTGCTCCTGTCCTACCCGTCGGAGGACATGGCTGTGGCCGTCGCCCGCGCCTTCATCATCCTGAGCGTGCTAACCTCCTACCCCATCCTGCACTTCTGTGGGCGGTGAGCCCCTCTCCACCCCACCGGGGTGCTCCCTTTCACCAGGGCCTCTGAAAGCCCTTTGAACATGGGCCTTGTGTAGAATCCATTTTATAGAAGGAGAACCAGAAGCCCAGAGGAAAGAGTCAGTGCCTCGCATGGCCCTCCAAGTACTCCCAGCCGGGTCTTTGGGGGCCCCCTTTGTCCCAGAGTCACCAGAACATTCTGTGAGTCCTCTGAGAACCTCTAGTCCAGATCCTTTCCTGAACACCCTGCTTTCTGGGTACCCCAGACCCTTCCTTTTCAGGAGACTAGTAGTACATGTTCCCATGGGGTGTGCGAGTCCTGGGCCAGGCAAGGCACTAAGCCGTTCCCATTCACCATCCCGTCCGGCCCCCACAGCAACCCTGAGAAGAGTGCTGCTAGGCCCATTTCAAAGAAGAGGAAACTGAGTCTTACCTACAATCCACCCAGTCGGGGATCTGGCTCCCTGGCTGGAGGTGGGGAGCTGTTAGCAGGGGCGCCTCTGAGCCGCTCTCTGTGTGGGCAGGGCGGTGGTCGAAGGCCTGTGGCTGCGCTACCAGGGGATGCCCGTGGAGGAGGACGTGGGGCGGGAGCGGCGGCGGCGAGTCCTGCAGACGCTGGTCTGGTTCCTGCTCACCCTGCTGCTGGCGCTCTTCATCCCTGACATCGGCAAGGTCATCTCAGTCATTGGAGGGCTGGCCGCCTGCTTCATCTTCGTCTTCCCAGGTGTGGACCCCTGGCATCCCCGCAGCACTCTCTCCCAGGGCCTCCTGGCCTGAGCGCGTCACCTCCTGGGTTATTGATCACCCACTTCAGGCTCTGGCGTGTTTAAACATTATCTCCTGCAAAGAAGGTGTAGTTGTCATCTCCATTTCACTGGTGAGGAGGTGTGAGGATCAGAGAGGGTAACAAGCTTGCCTAGAGGTTAACAAACTCAACTAAAGACTAATAGAACCTTTTCAAACCCAAGTCTGCCTAGGTCCACAGCCTATACTCTTTAACTCTTCATTCAGGTACCTGTTACTCCCCGACTATCAGGGATCTGGCTGGGTCAGCCCATGACAGGGTAATTAGGGTCTGGTGGTGGCACCCTGACACGGGTTGGGAGACCTGAGTTTCAGACACAGTCTGCCACCAGATCCCTGGGCAACTGTCCTATCTGCCCAGTCATAAGTTCTGCCTGTACCCAGCTTACTTGTCTCTAGGAGGCCACCTGGAAATCCCTTGCCACTTTGCTTGGAGCAAGGGGGCCACATCTGCTCAGAAGTGCACTGGGAAGGGCCCTGCAATGTAGACACCACTGAGTCACCTCCCTGTGCTGCCCCTTTAGCTCTGGGGCTTGCATGCAGCCCAAGGGGTGCCTGGCAGGTGCTGGCTCCTCCTGGGAGACCAGATGTCCGGTCTCCAGCTGGGTGCAGAGTGGAGACAGGCGGAATGTGTGGAGGAGTAAACACAGGCCTTTCTCCACCCACCATCACTGCCTCCTGGCAAAGGGGGAGGCTGGACTGCTGGGGGGGGGTGCCCACCCAAGCTCTCAGGGCCACCTCTTCTCTTCTAGGGCTGTGCCTCATTCAAGCCAAACTCTCTGAGATGGAGGAAGTCAAGCCAGCCAGGTAAAGCAGGGCCCGGCCCGTGGTCCTCTCAGGGAGGTACTGGATGGGGGTGGCCTTTAAATGGATAGGAGTCAGGAGACTTGTGTACTTTGAAAAACTTTTTAAAATACTTCTTTGAAAATGTGTAACATGTTAGTTGTAACAGTTCAAATACTACTGAGGATTTTTTTTTTAATTTTTGAATTTTATTTTATTTTTTTATACAGCAGGTTCTTACTAGTCATCAACTACTGAGGATTTTAGAGAAAAAAAATGGAAGTCCCTCTTTCCCCACAGCCCACTCCCCACTGCTCCCTTCTCCTGAGAGAGCTCCATGAGATCAGCACAGCCTGTGCCCTTGCAGACTGTTTCTGTGTGTGCACATGTGTCTGTGTACACAAAGCTATGCACGCGTATACACAAACACGTGGGGTTTTGTGTCTGGTTAGGTTTTTTCAAAAATGGTTTCATGCCAGACACACTTTTCTGCAACTTGCTTTTTTCACTTAACCATGTATTTTGGAGATCATTCTATGTCCACACAAGAAGATCTACTGCTTCCTTTTTCCATGGCCGTAGAATATTTTGCTGTTTGAATGTGTCCTGAATGTGAACACATTTCTGCATGTACACCTTGGCACAGCTGTTCAAGGATCTCAGGAGCATCGATTCTTAGAAGGAAATTGCTCCATCATAAGGCACGCTCATTTTTACTCTGGCACACGGGTTCAAATTACCCTCCAAAAAGGCAGTACCAGTCAGAGTCCCAGAAGCAGTGAATGAAAGTGCCCTGTTCCCCACACCCCCGCCAGGACTGTATATAGCGGCCTTTTCAATATTTGTTAGTCTAATGGATACAAAACACTACATTTTTAAAAAATTAACCATTTTTACCATTTTAAAGTGTTCAGTGATATTAAGTTCACTCATATTTTTGTGTAACCATCCCATCTACCTCCAGAACTTTTTCATCATCCTAAACTGAAATTCTGTACCCATTAAACAATAATCCCCCATTCCCTCTCCCCTCACTGCCACCATTCTACTTTTTGTAGAATTTGTGTAGAATCTGTGTGAATCTGACTCTTCTAGGGACCTCATGTAACTGGAATTATACAGTATTTATCTTTTTGTACCTGGCTTCTTTTACTTAGCATAATGTCCTCAAGGTCCATCTATGTTGTAGCAGCCTTTTTAAGGCTGAACATTGTGTGTATAGGCCACATTTTGCAAAACGCTGCGTTCTTTTAATAAGTGCATGTCCCTGAATGGTAGAGAAGTTATGACCAGGTTGCATGCTTTTAAAAAAAATTATTGTGCAAGTAATACTCATTGATTATAGAAAACTTTAAAAATACAGACAAGTCTAAGGAAGAAAATAATAATCACCTTTAATATCCAGATATAACCAGGAAATTTCTTGGTGGTCCAGTGGTTAGGACTCTGTGCTTTCACTGCTGAGGGCATGGGTTCAATCCCTGGTCAGGGAATTAAGATCCCACAAGCCAGGTGGGCAAAAAAAGGAAAAAAAAAAAAAAAAGAAAGAAAAAATTCCAGTTATAACCCTGTAGCTATTTTTGACACATATCTTTGCAGATGTCTGCTTTTTTATTTATTTATTTTTTTAATGAAATGGATCACTCCATGTGACCTGCTTTTTCCTGACTATCTTTCCATCAGGAGATATGCATTCTTTTTTTTTTTTTAATATTTATTTATTTATTTGGCTGTGCCAGGTCTTAGTTGCAGCACGTGGGATCTTCCGTTATGGCATGCGGGATCTTTAGTTGTGGCATGCGGGGGTCTTTAGTTGCATCATGCGAACTCTTAGTTGTGGCATGTGGGATCTAGTTCCCTGATCAGGGATGGAATCCAGGCCCCCTGCATTGGGAGCTCGGAGTCTTAGCCACTGGACCACCAGGGAAGTCCCAGGAGACATGGTTCTAATTCTGGTCCTGCCCTTGGTGTGCTGTGACCAGTCAATTAATCCCATTAGGTCTTGGCCTCTTTACCCATGGTCTAGGGATCATACACCCAGCCCCATAAACCGTTGTATGAAAGTCCTTGAGAAGTAGGAAGTGTTCCACCCACAGGAGAAGTGGTATAAGTAAATAGAGTAATTAACTGATATATATATATATATATATATATATATATATATAAGTCGGCAAAGTCACAAGTGGGTCGACTGACCAGGCCCTCTCTCACCCTCTGCTCTACAGCTGGTGGGCGATGGTCAGTTATGGAGTTCTCTTGGTCACCCTGGGAGCCTTCATCTTCGGCCAGACCACAGCCAACACCATTTTTGTGGATCTCTTGGCATAACCAGTGCCTCCCAGGGAATTCTTGGCCTTTGCCATTGGACCCTGGAACCCATCTCGTAGAGCTTCAGGACCACCCTGAGTCCGGCATCATTCCCCTCTACTGGTGGGATGACATCTGGACATCCTTTTCCAGGGACAGTTCTAGGGTGAAATCAGGCCCCACACCCCTGGACAGCTCAAACCCAGCTCCCTTCCTGCCCCCGCATCCTGGCAGTGCCATGGATGGTAGGAGGAGGTCTCGTGTCACAGAAGAACCTTCCCCCCTCTTCCACCTCTCAATTTCTCCATGCCTGGAAGCCACGGGTGAAGAGTCGGTAGGTCTCCGAAGGAACAACTCAGCCTGACTTCCCTCTGGAGAAAGAATGTGGACTAAGGGCTGCCATCCTCCACAGAGAAGCCTGCCCTGGGTAGGGGCTGTGCTCAATTACCCCGGGGCTCAGTGCCTGCTCCAGTCTGTTGGCAGCCCAGCCAGCAGTGGCTTCCTCCGGCAAGTTCCAAAGGTAGCACTGAAATCATACAGGTGCACCGAGGCAGGCAGATGGATGCCTTGTCCACTGCCTCCTGGGCCTGTGGTGAGCCTGAGAGCCCTCTTGCCCATGGCTGGTTGACATTTCCCAAGCCTTTTGGGGCCTCACCCTGTCTTCTTACCCAGACCTGATGGTCCAGGCATCCCTCTGCTCCTCCATCCCCGGACATCACCAAGTCTAATGTTTACAAACGGTGCCAGCCCAGCTCTGAGCCAGGGGCCAGGGGCCGTCCCGTGCCACGGTGCTGTGAGTACTCCTCCCTTAACTTTCCCCAAGGCGGGGAGTGTGCTTTTCTCTCTCAGATTCCTGATGGGTCCCTCTTTTCAGAGGCACAAGGGTGGGTGAGGGAGCATATGCCGGGAACCCCATGCAGGCTGGGCTGGTGAGGATCAAGGTGAACCTGTCTGGCATCTTCACTTTGAATGGCTGCTCTTCTCCCTGCCCTGCACGTCCCTCCTTCCCTGCCAGCCCAGCCTGGTACCCTGGAGACAAGAAAGGCGGCTGAGTGGCCACTGACTAGGCAACATCTGAGTGTAGTCACGCCAGCCTACAAGTTTCCCTTCCAGTCTGGATCTTGTCTGCTCCTGTCCCCCATCACCTCTTCGCCACCACCCCATTTTTCTGTGTAGCTTAGTCTCTCCTGTTCACATAAGTATGGGGGTGGGGGTGGACCAAACCCTCTCTCGTCCACTTTCTGAGCTCCACAGGTCTACCAGGCCTGGCCTCGGCGGCCTGTCAATCACACTGAGGTCACACCTACGTTGTGCCCCAGGCGGGGTGAGGAAGGATATTTTCCCCTTTTATATTTTGAACACCTTGGCCACTCAGGCCAAGCCTAGGCACCGAATTAGGCTTCCTCTGCCTGGAACACCTAGCATTCTCCCTGGCCCCTCCTGCCTAAAACCTCTGAATGCAGTGGTGGGGTGAGAGGGATCCCTGCCCTCAGGACAGTGAGACAGAGGAAGCAGAGCCTTGCTGGGGCCAAATAGGCTTCTGCTCAGACCCCCGGACTGGGTGACCTGCCTTTCCTCACGTTCCCTGGGGGCCAGACCCACGTGGTCGTTTTCTCTCTGCCTGCTGCACAGCACCAGGCCCTGCCAGTACCCACCCCAGATACAGTTAGGAGGATGGCCCATCAGCAGCAGGGCTGCACTGCCTCCTAATGTTGGATTTCAGTGAGGGGTGGGGGCGTGTACGGGGAAAATGAACTGGAATCTGGCCTAACCTCAGGAGCACCTTCCCCTGCCCTCTCTGCCAGGGCATTTTACTGTTTCTTTTCTACTTCTGCACATTCAGACCAGGGAGGATGGTTAATAAAAAGGGACTTGTGCTGCTGAGCTGCGTGGCCTGTGTCTGGTGCCAGGGACAGTCCAGGCCACTGACAGGAGGAAGACGGGCTGGAGTGGGAGTAGGGGTTGGGGTGCGATAAGGCCGTTTGGCCTCACCGTCTGTGACCCCTTACTCGAGAATGGGCCCATCACGCTCCCTTTCCCAAGCCGGAAACCTGCAAGTGGTCCTTAACACTTCTCTCTCCTTCCACAACCCATCAGACTTTCCCCACTGACTTGGGACTCTGCCTTGGTCTGTCCTGCTGCCTCTACCTTGGTTCAAGTCTTTCTTGTGTCTTCCCTGCACCACTGCAGCCTCAGATTAGCTTCTGTGTTGTATGTCCCTCCCTGACCTCAAGTTTTAGGGTGAGCTTCAAACCCCTGAGCATCCCTCCCGCTTTGTCCTTTCAGAGGCAGGTGTTGAGAGCAGGCGCTATTGTCCTGGTTATGGAGCCTGTCACTGTGCTCAGTGCTGGGGAGAAGATATTCAGCAAAACACACCAGCTCTGCTGTCAGTCTACTGGGGAAGACTGATGCTTAGCAAGTCATCACAAATATAAACATGCAAGTTGTGATAAATGCCAAGAAGGGAAAATACAGAACGTTATATTTGGGGGGGTCTGAAGCTTCCCTGGGGAGTCAAGGAAGGTTTCCTGGAGGAATTGACATATGAACAGGCCCCTGAGTGATGAGTAGAATGAACTAAGTGAAGAGAGGTGGGGAGACCTTTCCAGGCTGTGGGAAATGCATGTGCAAATGCCCTGTGATGGGAGGAACATGTTCATTTGAGGAACTGGAAAGTGGCCATTGTCGGTGGAGCATTACCTGGGTGTGGGAGAGCAGCAGAGGTGAGAGCAGAGCATTCTGAGATGGTCTGCAACGGCTCCCCCTGGTTCTCAGAATAAAGTCGAACCCGCCCACCTTCTACCACACTCCCCATCCCTGTTCGGGTATTTTGCAAAGATCCCTCCCTCCTGGTGGAGGTGGGGACCCTCTCCAAGGAGGGAACATGTTGCAAGACTAGACAGGTGGGACAGCTTTGGGCCATGGTTCACACCTGCCTAGTGGGCCAAGAGCTTGAGGTTTGGTTTCACTTTCTCTGAGTGAACAGAGGGAAGGAAAGGTTACATCTAGGCCACAGGCAAATGCCCAGCCAAATTCATTCAAGTCAAGACTTGTAAGCACTTAATCAGTCTCTGTCTCCGTGTTAGACTGTAAGTTCCACGGGAGCAGTGTCACATCTCCCTTGTCCATCAGGTATCTTAGCCAGTGCCTGGTACATAGCAAGTGTTCAATAGTTGTTGAACAAATGATTGAATGAATATCAACTAACACTTGTTGATTTCTTACTTTGTGCCAGCACTTAACTTGCATCATTCACATTCGGTCTTCATGACAACTCTATGCAAAAGTGAAAGCTGAGAGATGTTACATAGTGTGCCCAGGGAGTAAAATTGGAGCCCTCTTGCCGTGCATGAATGAACAAGTGAGCAGAGGGGTCTCTCAGTCTGGTGATTTCTGACCCCGGAAGGCAAGCTCAGGAACCTCCAGCCCTCATGCTGGCACCAACATCAGACCCTAAGACCTTTGACTTACTGTCCCATCCAAACCATGTCAAGTGGTGGGATGCCTGCTGGCTGGTAGCTCTCGGCAAGTCGCTTCCCCTCTCTGGGCTTCTGTTTCCAGAATCTCTAACATGGGACTGATTATCACTGACCTTATTTACCTCCCAGGATAAAGGAGAGCCAATGTCAAGAAAGTACATGAAAAAAATGACAGAAGTGCTTTATAACCAGAAATCCGCATTTACAGAAGAAATGCGAAAACTCAGTTTCTCCTCAGGAGGACACAGGCAGAGGTTCCCCTAGCACTTCCTGGGAGTCAGGGTACTTCTCAATCTTTAACGTGCATACAAAATTTTTATCTCCTTAGGATACAAATTCTGATTCAGTAGATCTGGAGTGGGGCCTGCAGTCTGCATTGTTAACGCTCCCAGCTTCGCCCATGATTTGGTCCTTGGACTGCACTTTGAATAGCAGGGGACTGGTGGACTGACCAAAGGCTTTGGCTTCAGACAGACCTGGGGTGGATCTCAGCAGTGCCTCTTTACAGTGGGAACTCAGAAATTAGTTCACTTCTGTGAACCCCACTCTCCTCGACTATGAAGTAGGAGTGATGGTGCCCATCTTATAGATGCAAATATTATAAATCCAAGGACAAATGGCATAATATACGTGAAATGCCTGGCAGATAGCAGGGATTATGTTGGTCATTTCCCTGTACTGGAAAGAAAGGGGGTGGGGTGGGGTGGGAGGGTAACTGCAATTTCTTCCTTTAGTCAATAGAGGTCACCTCTGAATAATTTCGGCTTATGAAAGTGAGGAGCCTATGGCCTCAGAGGACAGTCCAGTCCTGATTCATTAGGGTTCCTGGTGAACTGCTGCCTAGCACTTCTGAATGATGTCCCTATACTGGGGCAGGGCCACTTCTAGATCATGGCCTCCAGTCTGGTGGGGGAATCAGACCAATCAAATAATCACAGAAACTAATTATGTAGGTACATGTGCTAGATGTAGATTCAGTATTGCAAATCCAGATTTGGTAATTCATTGCTATGATACAATGAAAAATTTTTCCATAGGTGTGGAGGAAGGCCAGAGACATTGTAGTCGGGAAGAAGGAAGACGGCAGACGGCAGACACCCTGTCCTCCAAATACTTTGTGTTTCCTGAGGGGTCAGTGGGGTGG